ATAAACTATTCTTAATAAAGACATTATTTTTACTAGAGTATTTCGCCAGAATTAGAGTTTTTTTTCCAAAGAGTGGTCTTTCTTTCTGAGTTTAAGAGACTTTCTCCATAACTTTTTTCCTTTTGTGAATAAAATAAAAGGATAGTTCTGTTCGATAGATCATAGAAAAATACAGCTTGAACACATTTTATTATTTCTTTTGCAAAAAGAAACCTTCAAAAGAATCCGCATCAAATTCTGAACATAGTACACTGTTGTATTTTTTAGCTAAGTTGAGTGTGGATCAGAGACTGGCATCAGGGCAAGGCTGCCCTGATACCCTGTCCTATAGGGCAAAGCTTTTTTTGCCTTGTAGGGCGATCAGTGAAAAGTACAGGGCAGGACAGGGCAAATTTTTTTTGCCCTGGTAAATTTTGTACCTACACTAAAATTATTCTTCTTTTTCTACATGAAACGCTTTTCTTCTTTGTTTTTTACGTGAAACACTTTACGTAAAACATTTTCTCTTTTGTACGTGAAACACTTTGTTTCTTATGTCAAACATTTTCTTCGTGATGCTTATTTCTTTCTATATTGATTTTCTTTTTTATAATGTTAAACACTTCTTCTTTTTCTACGTGAAACACTTTTCTTCTTTGTTTTTTACGTGTAACACTTACTTTACGTTAAACATTTTCCCTTTTGTACGTGAAACAATTTCTTTTCTATGTCAAACATTTTCATTTGTTTTTTTACGTCCCATGCAGATATTCCAGGTTTTGTTATTGTATTTCTATTAATCCTATTGATAGATAAATATTTTTTCTTTCGGATATTGTATTGCCAGATTGTAACAGTGTTTTGAAATAATTTAAATAAAGTGTTGGTACAGGAAAGAGAAGGAATCTTGAAACTTTTCTCATGCTAGGAAGCTCTTAAGTTATCAATTATGTTTCCAGATATAAGATGAGTCTGTAAGGCCTGAGGGCAGAGCAAAAAATTTTCTTGCGCCTTATAAGTAGAGCAAAGTAAAACAGGGCAACAGGACAGGGCAAAAAAAGTGCCCTGTGACGGTCTCTGGTGTGGATGTAGTTGTATGTCTGCTCTTCTCTTGTATCTACACTTCACAATGGTGTATTTCGGCTGATCTATTGAGAACTGAAAGCATGTTAATGATTTAGTGACGAAATGAAACAACTCTCGAAATCCAGATAATGAAGAAATTATAGAAGACTGCATCTCTGCATCTAGAAAAAACAAGAGCAACAAGAAACTATGTGGCAATTCGACAGGCATCTCTCTTTTTGTAGCAGTTGGCAACTTGTTTTCACGTATCGTACTCAGTCATATTCAAGATCAAGTTTTTATGTAACTGTTAGAGTGGCAAGCAGACTACTGCAAGAATTGAACAAACTACTTCCTATGTGATTTATTGATATCTAAAAAGGCTATAATTCTATGAATTAGAATCTCTTGTAACAGATATAGAGACATAAGAATATCGATGATAAAATTCTTCCTATATTAATGCTACTCTATAAAATATGGAAGCCAAAGTGCTGATCAATGATGAGTTATCAGATTGTCGTCAATATTGAAACTAGTATCATGAAAAGTAGCATTTCCTCACTCAGTACTCTACGATATCTTCTTGTTTGATTTTGTCATAGGACGAATCACGGAACAAGTTACTGGTAGTTGTATTAAAGTGGATAATTGTAGTAATGATTTTCTTTTTTTATACAGATAGAAATTAATAGAAGGATTTCAAGATTTTAACTATGATATATGTTGATGACTGGATAGTTATGTGTGATAATATCACAGATCTGGAAATCTTCATAAGAACCATTGAAATGATCACACAACATTCAGTTTGACAAAGAAAAAATCAAGAAAACATGTATTATATCCATCGTAAGGGTTTAAACAAGACTCAAAAAGACAAACTGCTACAAATCAATCAGTTTACACAATGTCCTTGAATAGTTCGATTCGAGATATAAAAAAAAAACGATCGAAAATGTTGATGAGTTTTGTTATGTTGATTACCGTGTCATATGAAATCAATCAATAGTAATCGTCTCATTTTGGTGAACATTCTCTGTTTGATATAAAATAATAATCGTTTAGTAAATGTGATCAGAGATTCCCATGAAGATGATGATGTATGTTTTCATCTAATGATATTTGTTTTGTTTTGAAAATAAAATCTGTTTAATTCATTCATTTATATTGTTATTTATTGAAGATAGAAGAAAGAATAAAGAATAAATTATATTTATTTATATAAGAATATTGTGTTCGAGCGACATCTAGAAAAACAAAGTAATATTAATGGAAAAAGAATGATGGATGGAATACGAGAAAAAAAATAGAAAAGATATGATTATTTTCAATAGAATAGGAAGAGTTTTTTCATATTCTATTTATTCAAAGATCGAACAAACGAAGGAGCTGGTTCATCTTTTTTCTTTTTTCTTTTTTGCTTATTCGAAATACTACTAAATGGGTACTGTTTATGATGAACAAATTCGTGTACTTATTTTAAATGAAGGTGAAGATAAAAGTGAAGAATTATATCGTTTAAAAAAAGGTTTGATTAATAAATAAATAAATAAAATAGAATAAAATGTCATAATTAAAGGATGGACTCTTCAAATAGTTTTATCATCGAATTTATCATGGAGAGATGTTCGAATATTTACAAATGCTTGTCTTAATGAAAAAGATCAATTTCAACGAAATAATTATCAAGAATTAAAATGGATTTATCCATCAAAAGGAAAATATGATCATTCAGATCGTTATCTATCGATATTATGTTGTAAATCTGGATCGTTTCATTATTATTTTACAATTGATGGAACAACGTAAGTTGAGATTTTTAATGAATAAACAAAACAAAAAAAGAAATCTCTATATTATATAAATAGAACAAAAGAAAATCTAAATGGTCAAGGTTATTTTCAAGTTGAATCATATTTAGTTTGGCCAGATGGTAGTGATGAAGTATTAGAACAAGAATATATAACATGTCAATCAATATTATCAAAATCCTTAGGTCCTTTATCAGAATGGTTATCACGTATTGAAGTAACACGTCATTCAGGTTATAATATGATACATTTAACACCAATTCAATATCTTAATAGTATATCAAATTCTTCATATTCAATAAGTGATCATCATAAATTGAATTCAACATTTGAATGTACATATAAACAATTGAAAACATTAATTGATCAAATGGCTAAAAAATGGAGAATATTATCAATAACAGATATTGTTTATAATCATGCTGCTGATGATTGTTCTTTATTTCGAGATCATCCAGAATCTTCTTATAATTTAATTAATTCACCACATTTAAAACCAGCTGTACTTATTGATTCAATATTAATGCAATTTACTCGTGATGTAAGTGAAGGAAAACTTCTATCAAAAGGTATTAATGATGATATTAAAGAACATCATTTACCATTAATACGTCATTATTTATTGAATGAAATAATTCCTCAATATAATATAGAAGAATATTATATATGTGATATAAATATAATAATTGAACAATTTAATAATAAATTATCTTTATTAAATGATTGTCCTGATAAACCTTTATATTTAAATGAAAATATAATTGAAATAAATCATGGAAAATATCAAAGAATGAAAAGTTTTGTTGATCTTGATTTATGTGAAAAAGTTTATTTTTATAAAAGAGAATATTTATCAACAAAAGAACAATCAATAAATGCTGCATGTAATGCATTACGTTATCGTCTCTATTTTTTAAATAATTTAATATCTAAAAAATTAAATGAAAATTTAAATCGAGCTATTGACAATTCTATTGCTTCATGTCGTTATCATTTTTTTTCATATAATGGACCAAAATATAAAAAATTGTCTTTACCATCAACACCATTTGTTGGAAATTATTTTCATTATCCAAATAGAGAATTAAAACATCCAGATGATATAAATAAATTAATTGAATATGATTATAATTATCAATTACATGTTATGGCTCATAATGGTTGGATTATCAATGATGATCCACTTAGAAATTTTGCTGAATCAGGTTTTTTTTTTCTTATTATTTATAGTTTTTTTTCTTATCGAAATAGAAACAAACCTAACTTTTTATCTTTTTTTATTTAATATTGATATCGAAATAATTTTTTGACTAATTTTATTATTTTTCATAAAAATTTGTTTTTATAATATGAAAAATTTTCAACAATTAACATATTTTTGTCAATTATATTGATATGATTTTATTTATAATTTAAAATTATTTTCAATTATCGATTTATCATCAATCTATTGATAATAAAAATTATTTTCATTAGATTTTAATAATAGATATCGAAAAATAATAATTATCTTAAATGAAATAACATTTCCTATTGATTTACATTGAAAGATCGAACCAGAGAAAACAACAACACATCAGATTCTTGTTTTTTTTCTTCTTTTTTAAGTGATTCTACTTAAGAGTATAAGAACAGATTGAAATATATTATCATTGATTATTTTAAATATAAATTAAAAAATATCTTTTTTTTTTTTTATTTTCTATTATCAATTAATATATTATATTTGACAAACACATTGTTTGACGTTTTTCAAAATCGTAAATGACTTTTTGTTTTTATTTAAATCATATATATATATATATAGACGATAGAAGAGGTCAGTTCGATCTATTAGAATAATTAATAATAAACTAAATAAATAAAGAAAAAAAGAAATGTTTTCTTTCAATAAAATTGTTTTAATAATTTTTGTTTTTTGTGAATATAATAATTAATAAGATAAATATGAATTGTATTATAATAAAAAGTCTTATGTTTTTAAAGGAGAAGAAAGTTATTTACGACGAGATTTAATTCAATGGTCTGATTTAATAAAACTTCGTTATGGTTATCGATGTGAAGATTGTCCATCATTATATTCATATATGAAAGAATATACACGTTTAGTAGCAACAACATTTCATGGTTGTCGTCTTGATAATTGTCATTCAACACCATTATGGTTAGCACAACAAATGATGGATTATGCTAGAGAAATAAATCCCAATTTTTATATTAATGCTGAACTTTCAACAGGAAATATTAAAACCGATGCTCTTTTTATTAATCAAATTGGAATTAATTCGGTAGTTAAAGGTTAATCTATATTTTTTTTTATTTTTTGCTTTCGTTAACAAAATAACCAAACTGAAATTTGTTTAGAATCGCATCGATCATTTGATCCATATGAATTGGGTCAAATGATATCATTAGTTAGTGAAGGTGATCCAATTGGTTCATTTATAAAAAGTAGTAATCATAAATTATTACCAATTAAACCATATTCATGGTTTTATGATCAAACACATGATAATCCATGTCAAATTGAAAGAAGATCAGTTGAAGATGTTATTCCACGTTCAGCTTGTGTTGCTATGGCTTATTGTTCAACTGGTTCAAATCGAGGTTATGATGAATTAGTTCCACATCATATTGATGTTGTTCATGAAACAAGATTTTATTCCAAATGGGGTTATCAATCAAAACAAACAAATGAAAAAACTGCTATTATCTCTATTAAAAGAGCTTTAAATAAATTACATATTGATCTTGCTCAACAAGGTTATACTCAGGTTTGTTTTATTTGAAAAATTTCTTCCTACTTTTTCAATAATTTAAATTAATATTGACTTTTTAAAATCGAGATTATTTGAAAAAAAACGTTTATTTTTCAATTGAAAGAATTTAACAAAGAAGTATTTCATTAACTAAACTAATTATTCTAATAAAGAAAACAAATATTTCATTGTTCGTATTTTTTTTTCATTTTGATAAATGAAAATATTTTCATGTTTGACTATATTTTAACCAAATTGTAAAAAAGAATTCAAATTATTAAAAAAAGAAAATATTTTATTGAAAAATTCTTGATTTTCATAGATCAATCTTTTTACAAGATGAATATTGAATTTTTTTTTAATATTCTATTGACTATAAAAAGTACTAAAAAAAAACACCTGTATTTAAAGAATTCTATAGAATTAAAGCAAATTTACTTAATTTAATTCGTACATCTATAGAGGTGATTGGAATGACATAATTGACCTTTTATAGCCATGTCCTAGTGTAGCAACATCTAGCGCTTCTTCAACAGTTATTATCCATGCTTATCTCTCTCGGTGTATGCAGTGACTATTATTATGAGTTTTTTATTTCTTCGACTTTTGTAATGTTTACTTGGAGAATAAATGTCCAGGATTTTCTCTATTATCACTACAGGTTCCTGTAGAATTTCCAGGGGATGATGCAGGATTATCAATGAATTCTGCACTATTTATTCTTAGAAAATCAAATAAATTCGAATTATAATTAAAATTGAAATAGAATATTGATTTTGGCTTATGGATCCGAATGGTAACAGACAAATATTTGAAAATCTGAGTTATGTTTCGAACTTAGATTTAACCATTATACTGATTTATTTCTCATTTATCTTTCGAAAGAAAAAAAAATTTAAATGATTAACTTTTAAGAAAATGTTTATAGTAAAATGTGTCCGCTAATCTTAAATAGTAATGAAAATTTTTCAAAAGATTTTTGCATCGATGATTATTTAATATTTTCCAATTGAAATATTTGAAGCTATTTTTTGATAAACTAAAATTATTTTTCTTATTAATCAAATTAAATCAAATAAATAGATAAAAATTTCGGAAAAAAAAGTCTCATTTGTGGTTATTGTTCACTACTGAAATAATGTAATATTAATATGAAGTATAATAAAATTCTCTTATAGTTAATGGTTGATCAATTAAGTACATCAGCATTATTAATAACTCGTCATAATCCTGAAACACATAAATCAGTATTATTAATAGCTCATACATCTTTTTTTCAACCAAGTGGAAAATGGGAATATATTAATTCATTATCAATTGAAGGTGTTATTGATGATATTTTATTTGAAGCATCAATAAATCATCCACAAGAAAAAGAACCCGTTAGAAATTTTCAAAGATCAAAAGAATATATTAATGGACTTGAACAAACAAAAATATATTTTCGTGAAAATTTATTTATTGAACAAAGTCGTTGTATTCGTTTAAAATCCCCAAATTCACCTGATTATATTGGTTTTCGAACAATTGAATTTACAAATGATTTTCGTCCAGGATCAATAATTGCTTTAGAAATCTCACTACTTCCACAAATTCGTCAATCTGTTATTTATCTTAAACAATTATTAGATCAATATTCAAATCCTCGAAGTCAATTTAATCATATTATTAAACAATTAACATTAGTTGATTTAGAACGTGTTATTTATCGGACATCAATTGAAGAACAATCGGATGGAAAAGGTTTTGATGTTTATTTAATACCTGATTATGGAAAACTTGTTTATTGTGGTATTCAAGGACAAATATCTGTTTTAGATAAAATTCGTTTATTTAATCAAATAAAACATCCATTTATTATTAATTTAAAACAAGGAAATTGGTTAATGGATTATATATCAAATAGACTTAAAATTCATTCAAATACAAAACAGGTTTGTTCTACAGTTTTTTTTTATTTAGTTTTGTTTTATATTTATTAATAAAAAAAATAAAGAAAAAACTGTTTTAAATATGAATAGTTAGGTGAATGGTATGGAAATGCATTTCAACATATAAGTTCATTATCACGTTTAATGGTTCCAATTTATTTTGATTTAATTATAACTGGTTCATATTATTTATTAATAGAACATGCTTATCAATTAATGAGTCCATTTATTATTAATTCATCGAAATTTGTTCGTTCATTTTCCCAAACAAGTATTCAGTTATTAAGTTTTATTCGAAATGCACGTTTACCATTATTATCATCAAATATTGCTAAACCTTATCCAATTGAAGAAAAAGATGAACAAACATTTGAACGTATTCAATTAATTCCATCATTAGCTGCTGCTTTTCCACATTTATCTTCTGGTTTATGGAGAAATTGGGGTCGTCATACATTTATATCATTACGTGGTCTTATTTTATTAACTGGAAGATATGAAGAAGCTCGTTATTTAATATTATCTTATGCATCATCTATTCGTCATGGTTTAATTCCTAATTTAATATCAGATGGAAAAAATGCTCGTTATAATTCTCGTGATGCTGTTTGGTGGTGGTTATATTCAATATCAATATATACTAATTTAGTGCCTAATGGTTATAATATCCTTAATGATAAAGTTTCACGTTTATATCCAAATGATGATTGTCCACCCGAAACAGTTGATTCATATAATCAATCATTATATGATATTATTTATCAAGTTCTTATTAAACATATTCAATCATTAAAATTTCGAGAACGTGGAGCCGGACATTTATTAGATTCAAGTATGAATGATCAAGGATTTTTTATTGAAATAGGTGTTGATACAAAAACTGGTTTTGTTTATGGAGGTAATCAATGGAATTGTGGAACATGGATGGATAAAATGGGTTCAAGTGAAAAAGCATCAAATAAAGGTCATCCAGCAACACCACGTGATGGTTCAGCTATTGAATTAGTTGCTTTATCTCGTGCAACTATTTCATGGATTATTCATATGAATAAACAAGGATATTTTCCTTACGATTTTATTCAAACATATTCAGGTAAGATTTGTTTTATTTTAGGACTTTCTTTTTTTAATATGTTTTCCATTATAAAATAAATAAAAGAATCTGGTGAAAAACAAAATATATATTTAACTGATTGGTTAAAACGTATTGATGAAAATTTTGAAAATGAATTTTGGATTGATCAATCAAATTCATCGGAATATGTTAATAGAAAACAAATATATAAAGATACAGTTAATTCAACATTTAAATGGACTGATTTTCAATTAAGACCCAATTTTATTATTGCTTCTGTTATTGTAATATTCTTTTTTTTTCTTTAAAAATATTTTTTCTTTCTTTCTTTCTTTCTTTCTTAAAAGGCTCCAGAAATGTTTAATAAAACTCATATATGGTTAGCATTAAAACAAGTTGAAACAATTCTTTTGGGTAAATATGGAATAAAAACACTTGATCCAAAGTAACGAAAAAAAAAAACAAAATAATTTCTTATATTTTTAAATTAATTATTTATAATAATAGTGATTATAATTATATTGGTGATTATAACTATGATGATGATTCATATGATTATAAACGAGCACATGGTTTTAATTATCATAATGGTCCAGAATGGTTATGGTTAACTGGTTATTATATACGATCAAAACTTTATTGGTCAAAAGAACAAAATGATCAATATATATATGATGATACAATAAAACATATACGAAAACTAATATCATTACATATGGATTTATTTAATTCAAGTGATTGGAAAGGTTTACCTGAATTGACTAATTCAAATGGTCAATTATCTTATTATTCATCTTATGTTCATTCATGTTCTTGTGCTACTTTTTTAGAAGCATTATATGATCTATCAACTATTTAAACATTCATTTCTTTTTCTTTTTCTTTTTCATTAGTCTCATTAACATTCTTTTTTTTTTTTTATTCTACTTAGTCATTTAGTCAATATCATTTTATTTAATTAATATATATTTATTAATTAATTAAACATCTATTTTTTTTTTTGTTGAACTATTTATCTATTAAAAGAGACAAAGAATTCATGAAATTTTTGTTGTTGTTATTATTGTTGAATATTAATCAAGTCTAATCTCAACATTGAAATATAACAAAATAAATAAATTAATTTTATTGAAAAAAAAAATAGACTAGTTCAATATAACATATGATTGTTATTTAAAATAATTTAATATCAATTAAAAAAAATTGTTTTTAAAATGAAAGATGATATTTATTTATTTATTTAAATGTCAACATTTATCTTTTATAGATATCGATTTATAATTATTTAAATAATTGATTAATATAATCATTTAATAAACAACTTTTTTTTTCTTCAAATAAAATAAATCGAAACTAAAATAAAAATTATCTTTTATTAATATGATTTTCTTAAAGCCAATTATCTCTATAGAAAGAATTGGAAATATTCAATACGTGACAAGATTGTCAACAAGATGTTTTTATTAATAAAAACTGGTGTTCGTCATTTCCTTTCATCTACATCTATATTGATCAGTTTAATTTAAAACTGAAAAGAATAATTTAACATAGACATAACAATAAATACAAATCGATTTCAATTTCATTTCATAGATGTGCAACAGACCATAACGGATATAAACAAAGGTTTTATTTCAGTTAGATTTGTTTATTTGTCATAAAAAACAAAACTTAAAATACTTCTAAGATCATACAAACACAATCCATATGACATTTTTCTCAATATAATTCTTTCATATTAGACTTGATAAATTAACCTTACATGTATCATTAAGAAGTTTATTCGAACTTCGAAAGTTTCAAAATTACATTTGAACTAAATAATTATTCAGAATATTGATATCACTCAATCAGTTATTGCTGGATTTTTTTTTCTATCAGTTTCTTCAAATAGGATTTAAATCATGAAAAAAAATTCCCTTGTTGTTTTTTATAGAGACAAGAAGAAAGAGTCAATGATAATCATGAGAAAAGAATGAAAAAGAAAAACAAAAGATCGAAATTTAATATGATTATCTCATTCCTGCAGCGAAATACATATGAGAAAGATAAAAAAAAGAAACAAAACTTAACTTAACTAATAATTGAGTTCGATGTGAAAGAGTTTTGATTATATAATAATAATCATCCAAATAATAACAAAAAAAAGTAAAACATATGAGATCGTATACTGAAAAGATAAAATCTAGCATTTATTCGAAGACGGATATATAGGAAAATCAATCTATTTAAACTATTTTCAAAAAAAAATCTTCAATCATTTCGAATGTGTTTTAAAAAATCTCTTTACTTTGTTTTGCTCACTAAGATGATCACAATGAATAAACAAGACAATTTCAATATAGATATTAGAACAGGTTTATTGTTATTTATTCTTATTGATATTCTCTATGTTATGATCTAATGCAATTATATCTATCATTAATCATAAATAACAATAGAATAAAAAAATAAAAATAAAAAAATACAGATATGTTGTTAATTTAATATAGGATGGTAAACAAGCATATCAAAAAAATCTTTCTCTGTAAATGGCTGAATCCATGGGAAACGTACCACTTTATACATGACTTTCTCAG